CCACATTCTTCACATTTGTAGGGTTTCTCTCCAGTATGAATTCTCTTATGATTATTAAGACTTGAGGGCATACTAAAGGCTTTGCCACATTCTTTACATTTGTAACGATTCACTCTAGTATAAGTTCTTTCATGCTGAGTTAGGTGTGAAAGCATGCAACATGATTTGCCACATTCTTTACATTTGAAAGAATTATTTCCAGTATGTCTTATCTTATGGCTATTTGAACTTGAAAATTTATGAAAGACTTTTACATATTTATCACACTGAAATATTTTGTTCCGGGTAGTTATCAAACATTGCTTAAGTTCATCATAACCTCCTTTGTGCATCTTACACTCATCCACACTTTCACAGCCTTTTCTTAATTGTAAATTGTCATGTCCATATTTTCCATATCTTCTCAGTATTACTTTTGGGAAAGAATCTTTTATGCCCTGCTCTGGCCAAAGGTCTTGGGCAAAATGAGAATACACAACTGAAAAAAATAAAAATAACAAATTACTTCACTTACTAGACTCAGATGGATATACTTTACAAATTAAGCTATAAAATTATACAAACTACATAAGCAAGATGGCATAGGAAAATACCACAGGCCATAATTACTTCATAGACATACAAATGTAACAAAAACATACAGACCAAAATACATTTGTGGAAAATGTATAAATGAGTTAAGTAGGTGCAGTGCCCCAAAGACCCTCATAGAATGAAGAGAAAAGTTTATTACATCTACCCAAAACAGCTCTTCCTGCTCCCCAATATACCAAAGAACCTTTACAAGTAAATAGTAAGCTCCTGAATTCTTTTTTAAAAGACAAGTAAAATACTGGCACATTCATCTTTATTTCCGTCTTCTAGGGGCTTTTCCAGACACTCGGTTTCTGTTTTTTTTTTTTTTTTTAGACACAGTCTTGCTCTGTCGCCCAGGCTGGGGTGCAGTGGCTGGATCTCAGCTCACTGCAAGCTCCGCCTCCCGCGTTCACGCCATTCTCCTGCCTCAGCCTCCCGAGTAGCTGGGACTACAGGCGCCCGCCACGTCGCCCGGCTAGTTTTTCGTATTTTTTTAGTAGAGACGGGGTTTCACTATGTTAGCCAGGATGGTCTCGATCTCCTGACCTCGTGATCTGCCCGTCTCGGCCTCCCAAAGTGCTGGGATTACAGGCTTGAGCCACCGCGCCCGGCCTGGTTTCTGTTTTCAATGACATAAAGTCATATACTTTGAAGTGACACTTTTGAGTTTGCTGAGACTAAATGTAAATGTTACAGTAGCAGAGAAACTGCAGTATAACAGACAGGGAACAGGTGTAGCAAGTGATGACTCTAAAGAAACATGAATAAACCTCTTTAACTAGAAAGTAAACACTAAATTCAGACAAGACATGTCATAAGAACCTGTTTGACAGACTCCCAACATCTCTAACCAAGATAATTATTTTCAGACTATGCCATAACTTATGTGACAGGTAGCTTTTAATAACATCCAAATCTTAAAGACTACAATGTATACAAAATAGGGCACCACAGTTCCATCAAATATATCATAAAGTTTTCAGAAATAAATTATAAAAAAGATGTTTATAGGCCAGGCACGGTGGCTCATGCCTGTAATCCCAGCACTTTGGGAGGCCAAGGCTGGCGGATCACGAGGTCAGGAGATCCAGACCATCCTGGCTAACACAGTGAAACTCCATCTCTACTAAAAATACAAAAAATTAGCTGGGCGTGGCGGTGTGCGCCTGTAGTCCCAGCTACTAAGGAGGCTGAGGCAGGGGAATGGCGTAAACCCGGGAGGTAGAGCTTGCAGTGAGCCGAGATTGCACCACTGCACTCCAGGCTGGGGGACAGAGCAAGACTCCATCTCAAAAAAAAAAAAAAAAGATGTTTGTATTAATTTTAAAAATTGAAAATAAAGTGAATAATTTTATATTCAAATATATAAATACTCGATGAGTGAAATGGAAACAGATAACTATAGAAAAACAGAAAAATGAGGGTAACGAAAGTATGAAATATCAAAAAAACAGAAATTGTGGAAGTAAAAAATACTAAAAAAAAATTATAACTAAAAAATTGTGTCCAGGCACGGTGACCCATGTCTATAATCCCAGCACTTCGGGAGGCCAAGGCGGGAAGATCATAAGGTCAAGAGATCGAGACCATCCTGCTTAACATGGTGAAACCCCATCTCTACTAAAAATACAAAAAATTAGCTGGGTGTGGTGGCAAGCACCTGTACTCCCAGCTACTCAGGAGGCTGAGGCAGGAGAATTGCTTGAACCTGGGAGGTGGAGGTTGCAGTGAGCCAAGACCACGCCATTGCACTCCAGCCTGGGAGACAGAGGAAGACTCTGTCTCAACAAAAACAAACAAAAAAATTCTAAAAGAAAACATAAAATAAAAATGAAGAAGCTCAACAAACTAGGAAAAACACAAAAATATTTATAGCAAACACATATATAGGCACACTTTTAAAAGTCACAGACAAAAAGAGAATCTTGGAAACTGCTTGCAGTTACAAGCAGGCTTTCAGATAACCACTAAATTGTCAACAAAAATTTTGGAGGCCAGATGGGAACTGTGTGATATAGTCAAAGTCCTGAAAAAATAGCTACCAACTGAGAATAATACTATCAGCAAATCTGTCCTGCCAAAAATAAAACAAAAAAACCTTCCAAAGTAATCAAATTCTGAAAAAGTATATTGGCGCTGCATGTGCCCTATGTATAAAAGATACCGAAAGCAGTTTCTTCCACTGAAAATAACATGATTCAAGAAAACAACAGGCCAGGTATGGTGACTCACACCTGTAATACCAGCACTTTGGGAGGCCAAAGCAGATGGATCACCTTAGGTCAGGAGTTCAAGATCAGCCTGGCCAACATGGCAAAACCCTGTCTCCACTAAAAATACAAAAATTAGCCAGGTGTGGTGGTGTGTGCCTATAATCCCAGTTATTCAGGAGGCTGAGGAGGGAGAATCACTTGAACCCAGGAAGTGGAGGTGGCAGTGAGCCGAGATTGCACCACTGAATTCCAGCCTGGGTGACAGAGCAAGAATCCATCTCAAAAATAAAAAAGAGAGAGAGAAAATAACACACAATCATATAAAAATACATTATTTTCTAGGAAAGATATGCACATACATAAAAATGAAATTTCTTACCATTGTTATAATGATACAGAAAACAATCGTAATTATTCTATAAAATTTAAAGAATTCTAGAGAACAATATAAAAATTAAAAATTTGAGGAAGCATTTTTTTTTTTTGGAGATGGAGTTTCAATCTTGTTGAAGGCAGGAGAATGGCGTAAACCCAGGAGGCAGAGCTTACAGTGAGCTGAGATTGCACCACTGCACTCCAGCCTGGGCGACAGAGCAAGACTCCGTCTCAAAAAAAAATTTTTTTTAAATAAATAAATAAAATAAAATCATGCTGGACAGCATCATAAAATCCCAGCACTTTAGGAGGCCAAGGCGGGCAGATCACCTGACGTCAGGAGTTCAAGACCAGCCTGACCAACATGCTGAAACCCCATCTCTACTAAAAATAGAAAATTTAGTTGGGTGTGATGGCTCATGCCTATAATCTCAGCTACGCAGGAGGCTGAGGCAGGAGAATCGCTTGAACCTGTGAGGCGGAGGTTGCAGTGAGCTGAGCCGAGATCATGCCACTGCACTCCAGCCTGCGTGACAGAGCAAAACTCCTCTCAAAAAAAAAAAAAAAAAAATGTATATATAGAGAGAGCTCTCTGTTAAATGTAAATATAGAGACACATACAGAATTCTATTATAATGATGGTACATAAAACCCTTAAACAACTTCTGTAAATATAAAAACCAAGACTAAATCTGCATACATTTGTTAATAGATACACAATATATTTATAATATCAATAACAAACTGGAAAATATAAAGCTATAGGTTTTTGTATTCAATTGAAGTTATCATATTAAAATGTATTGTTTTAACTTTAAGATGTTTTATTTAATCTCCATTTTTCAAAATGATTACATTATATTTCAGGATGATTGCATTATATTTATAGAAAGTATGTGAAACAATAAAAAATAACCAAGGCATGTCACAAAATTAAAATAAAAATTAAGGCAGTAAAACAGGAAACGAGAAAAAACATATCTACAAAAAATACATAAAACAATAATAAACTGTTAATAGTAACTTTATATCTTTAAGCAATTATTTTAAATGTAAATTAAACAACTTAATAAAAAGAAATGTAGCCAGGCACGATGACTCACGTCTATAATCCCAGCACTTTGGGAGGCCGAGGCAGGAAGATCACCTGAGGTTGGGAGTTTGAGACCAGCCTGGCCAACATGGAGAAACCCCATCTCTACTAAAAACACAAAACTAGCTGGGCATGATGGCACATGCCTGTAATCCCAGTTACTCAAAAGGCTGAGGCAGGAGAATCATGTGAACCTGGGAGGCGGATCTTGCGGTGAGCCAAGATTGTGCCATTGCACTCCAGCCTGGGCAACAAGAGCAAAACTCTGTCTCAAAAAAGAAAAAAAAGAGAGAGAGAGAGAGAAATGTAATAATGTAATCCCAGGACTTCGTGAGGCCCAAGTGGCCTTATCACTTGATCTCAGTAGTTCAAGGCCAGCCTGGGCAACCCTGTCTCTACAAAAAATACAAACAAACAAACAAAAAACCCAGCTGGGTGATGATGGCACATGCCTGTAACCCAGCTACTTAAGAGGCTGAATTGACATCATCTGAGTTTGGGAAAGTTGAGGGTGTGGTGAGCTGTGATAAGGCCACTGCAAACTAGCTTGGTTAACAGAGTGAGATCCTATCCTAAATAAATAATTAAATTTAAGGGCCGGGCGCGGTGGCTCACGCCTGTAATCCCAGCACTTTGGGAGGCCAAGGCGGGCGGATCACAAGGTCAGGAGATCAACACCATCCTGGCTACACGGTGAAACCCCATCTCTATTAAAAATACAAAAAATTAGCCGGGCGTGGTGGCGGGCACCTGTAGTCCCAGCTACTCGGGAGGCTGAGGCAGGAGAATGGCGTGAACCTGGAAGGCGGAGCTTGCAGTGAGCTGAGATCGGCCACTGGCACTCCAGCCTGGGTAAGAGAGCAAGACTTCGTCTCAAAAAATAATTAATTAATTAATTAAATTTATAAAAAGAATAAGAAACAAGATGTGTGAGAGGATTAAGTAAAAAAGCAATACAGTATGCTGTCTATAAGAGACTCATTTTAGCATTGAGTCAAACAGGGTGAAAGCAACATAATGGAAAAAATCTATATTCCATGTAAATAGTAACCGCAATTAAGTGAGGTGGTCATAATTATATTAGGCATAATATGCCTTAAGTCAAGTACTAATGTGAGACAAAAATTGATATGTAATGATCAAATGGGTCACTTTACCAGGAATCTATAACTATCATATATATTATGATATATATATAAATATCATATATTATAATATATGAGACATATATCCAAAATATATAAAGCAAATATTGGCAAAGTGAAACAGAAAATACATAGCAACGCAATGATTTTAGACACCAAAATCCCATTTTAAATAATAAATTAAAAATTCAGATAAAAGATCGATAAGAAAACAGGAAGCATAGACAACATTATAGATTCTATTAATTATTTTGCACATAGAGGAATACCTGAAGGTGGATAACTTATAAAGAAAAGTCAGAGTGACAGAGTGAGATTCTGTCTCAAAACAACAACAACAAATAAACTTACGACCAAAATCATACACTATGTGTATTCTGACCAAAACTGAATGAAACTAGGAAAAACAGGCAAATCCAAAAATACATAAAATAAAACACACAGGACAGGCATGGTGGCTCACGCCTGTAATGTTAACAATTTTGGAGGCCAAGGCAAGAGAACTGCTTGAGCCCAGGAGGTTGAAACTAGCCTGCACAACATAGTAAGACCCTGTCTCTAAAAAGAGATTAGAAAAATAAACAAATATAAAACACACTCTTCAATATATACTTGCTGAAGGGTCAAAAAATTTTATTTAGTTAACATGTCAATACAACCTACAATGGTGAACAAATTTAATATAATCTTTATAAAATCCTAATAGCACAGATTTTTTAAACAAATATGTTGTTCAAAAATTTTAAATTTGATTGTAAACTATAACTAGCCAAACACCCTGAAAAATAAGTATTATACTTCCTAATTTTAAAACATATTAAAAGCTACAATCCCAAAAACAATGTGATACTAACACAAAGATAAACAGAAGAAAAAAAACAAAAGAATAAAGAGCTCAGAAATAAAACCTTCTGTATATGATCAAATGATCTTCCACAAAGTTACCATGAGCACACAATGGAGAAAAAATAATCTCTTCAAATAATAATTTTGAAAACTGGATACCTACACTGATAAAGCTGGATTGTTTCTTTGAACTATATACAAAAAGTATTTTAGGGCCACGCACAGTGGCTCACACCTGTAACCCCAACACTTTGGGAGGCCAAGGTGGGCAGACTACCTGAGGTCAGGAGTTTGAGACCAGGCTGGAGAATATGTTGAAACCCCGTATCTACTAAAAATACAAAAATTAGCAGAGCATGGTCGCAGGCGCCTGTAATTCCAGCTATTTGAGAGGCTGAGAGGCAGGAGAATCACTTGAACCCAGGAGGTGGATGTTGGAGTGAGCCAAGATGATGGCACTGCACTCCAACCTGGGCAACAGAACAAGATTACATCTTGT